ATTTGACGGCGTCAATGACACCGTTAGTCTATTTAACGGACAGTTGATGTGGCTGCCACCTCACAATGTCTTTCCTTCCCACCTCAGCATCCATTGACAGGTGGGATGCCACGTCACATTAAAAGTTTAATTTTTTAACAAATTATTTTTTAAAATTTTTTATTTTCTTTCCACTCACTTCATCTTCACCAACAAAACCTTCACCAATAAAAATTTAATTTTTTATTTTCTTTCCTTCCCACTTCATCTACCTTATCCTTCTTTCCAGCTCCGCAAGAATCAATCTCAATCTTCTCCCTGAAACCCTCCACCTTCTTCCTTTTCTCTTCTTTCCACAAGATGTACATCCAATCTTCTCATCGAAACTCCTCCGCCATCACTCTAGATCGACGACAACACTCATCGACGAACACACCCATCCAGCCGATCCACCCCTCCGTCGAGTCACCCCTCAATCCAGTCCGGCTCGTCTCCCCGATTCACTCCTCCATCTCCGTTCCGGCTTCGACAAAGGCAATCATGCATCATCTTGCTGGCGGCAAAGACAACCGCTCATCCTCTTCTCGCTCTGACACGGCATGGCGGCTTCTGACGATGCTGGTCTGTGGGAGAGTTAGGGATTTATGGATTTTGGGATTTGGGTCGCTTGATCTGCCATCTGGGTCGCACCACTAAGAACGACGACATCTTTGGGGCTTCTTGGCTTTATCATCGTCTCCTCTGTCTCAGACTCACAGATCGAGGAAGGAAGGCCGATCTGGAGAGTTAGGGATTTATGGGTTTTTGGATATTTGATTGTGTGATTTGGGGGGTTTGATCTGAAAATGGTAGGAAGAGATGGCGACGATTTTGTTTCTGAATTTTTTGGGTTTATGTTTTATGGGCAGAAAAGAGGCCGTCAAGATTTGAGGCAAAAACTACTTTTCACGGCAGCTGCCGATAGTGGGGAACTGGGGAGGTCGTCGGGAGAGAAGGAGAGAACGAAGAGTGATGAGGGGACTAGGGTTGAGCACTTTATTGTTTGTTGTTTGGGTTATGGAAGGCTTCAATCCTAGTGATTGCAGAAGAGGAAGCTTATTGCAGAAGAGGAAGCTTCTGGTAGGAAGTATTGTTGAAGATGAACAGACGGTGGTGGTGGGGAGAAAGACATTTATTTTTTTTATTGTTTTTATGATTTTTTTAATTTAATTTGATAAAAAATATAAGTATAAAATTTTAATTATTTTCCACCTAACATTATATTTTAATAAAATATGCCACATCAACCACTGCTGTTAGTCTAGTCAGCATGTTAACTAACACCGTCAAACAATTGGACGGAAATGGCTATTTTTGGTATTTCGCCAAAAGTGGCTATATTTGGCAAAACCGTCAAAGTTTTGGCTATACAAGTGTATTTGGCCTTAAACAAAATTAAAAATGAACAAAGGAGAAAGAAGGAAGCAGAAGGAGATGGAGCGCCGGATGCCGGCCGCCACTGTAGGATAGAGAATCAGGTAAGGTTCCCTAGCTTTTATTTCAAGATGTACTAATTAACGCCCTAGTTTTTTTAAATTTGTCGCCCTAGTTTAGATAATTTGACATTTTTGTCCTCAAAATATTCCCAATCTCTTACGTGATTTCGCCCTAGATTGTTTCCCTGTCGCTGCCGTTCGCCCTACAAGTCGCCGCCGGTCACCGCCGCAACTGCCTTCTCTTCCTACTCTGATCATCATCGTCAACACCGAGCTCCGGTCGTATTCGCAGGGAGTAGGAATCGGGAGCCCACTTTTGTCGTCGCCCCCTAGAATTTTGTTCTTAGCCCAGAAATAAACTTAATTTCTATTTGACGCCCTAAATATTCAAATTAGTACATCTCAAGATATAAAGCGTTGAGAATTAAATGCATTTCATTTCCGCTACTTTTCTTAGTCAATCATATCTTCTTCATTCCAACTTGGATTTCAAATTTATTTGCATAGATGGAACGAGTTCGTTGTGCTTTACAAAATGAGATCCATTGTCATTATTGTTTGAGAATTTTTTTTCATACCTTTTGTTGCCAACTCCAAACCATATGGTATCTTATTCGTTTAAAGTCGTTTTATAAAAATTTTGCAGAGAAGAAACGAGTTCATCATGATCTACTGGATATACAAATTTCTGTGTGAACAATATACAGGACCAAAAAATACCATACAATACCACCCTGGTACGGGGGTGGTATCTTGTGGCACACAATGTTGAAAGTCGTAAATGACAATTGGTATACTCCTATAATCATGTATTCAACTATCCTACAGTCTTGGTATGTTAATACCACCATGGTACGTTGTTCATGTCATATGGTATGCTCTTATTTTAATACCAATCAATACCACCATGGGATGAACTGGTAAAAAATGTCAATTTTTTTGTTTAAAAAATATGTCAAAGTGGATATCATTTTGAAGAGCACATATAATTTGATTTATTTGTGAACAAAAAAATTTGAATTCTAACTTAAACCGAGAGAGAAATAGTATATTATATATTAAAAACTAATATATTAAAATATTTCCAGGAGAAAGAGAGAGGAGCTGATGTGCAGAATTTGTTGAGTTATGCATGCTTATTAATCATAGAATTATACACAGTATTCGTTCCCTCACAATAGTGGATCCAAATAGCGATTATTGCCATTAGTGATGAGAATAGCATAAATGCAAGCTGCATTGGAGTCAGCCTAAAGCTACTCGGCCAAATACTTGGCGGCTGCCCCCATCCCAATCACGCCTATTCCTATATTCCGCCACATAAAAAAAAACTCAGAAAATTATCTCCTAATTCCATAATAATCAATAAAACAACCCAAAATACTTTTTACAATCTGAGTTCCCACAAATGATAATAATAACAATAACAATAATAACTACTAATAATAATCAATCACGAATTTGACCCCTTAATTCATGGCCTAAGTTCAGGTCCTTAAACCTTCTTTTTTAAGAAGGATCTTAAAGCAATGTGATTGGCAGATTCAATTTTAGGTAGTTAGTGAGGAGTTATTAGTTAATTAGTTGTTAGGAGTATGTAGGGAATTATAATTAAATTAAAAACATAACCCTAGTGATTTATAAACCGACAAAGTCTTTTATCCCTCCCTATCAGCCGAACCGTTTCTCTGTCAACACTCTCTCAAAACACCTTCTCTGGTCGTCCCTTCCGCTTCCTTCTCAGGCCGGTCCTTCTGCACCCCCAAGCGTTCTCCGCCGTCATTCTCCACCAAATCCAAAGCCCAGCTTCTGTTCCACCGTATGCTCCCGTAACGTTCTCCGTCGTCGTTCTCCACCAAATCCGAAGCCTAGCTTCTGTTCCGCCGTCTGCTCCCGCAAGAGTTTTCCGATTATGAATGTTATTGGACTGCACTTTTAATTTTGTTGCATGGGTAGGGTTTTGCGTCGTTGCATGGGTAATCTTTTGTATTAGGATTTTTACTAATAAAGTTTATTCTCAATTTACAAATTAACGCTTTGTAATCTTTTAAAGCTCTATTGTCAATGTTTTTACCCGACCACTAGACAACAATTATAAACAAATCATTTCATTTTTAACAATTTTAGATTATGTTTGTAACTTTGTTCAATGGAATTATCAACGTTATCATTGTTTTATAAAGTGGTTATTAATGATCTGTTCTATGGTTAATCATCAATAGGTCTAATCAATATCAATTGTTTTGAATGCATGTTCAACAGAACACATATATGTTATTAATGATTTATGATATGGTTGTCAACATCTTTTAGTTGTGATTCTACCATTTTAAAGGTTGCAGGAATATCGAGAACTAAGAACACGTCACCTAAGATTGTTTCACTTCCACCTAGTCACCAAAGTACAATCCAGCAGCTAAGAGCATATGAGAATAATAAAGATAGCTAGAGTGAGTTGGACTGTTGGAGATTGTTCTACCTAGAGACCAGAGAACAATAATGTAAAGTGATATCAATTTCTCGTAAAACGTTAATAATGTCATTAGAAGTCATTGTACGAGGTCATGATTGACTAGCTATGAACATGATGTGGAAATGTGAATCGTTAATAAATATGCTCTAAATCAATGATAATGATACTTAAATCATTAATAATGATGTGGTATCTTTAATAATTTATTCATAAGCGCTGATGATGGAAATATAAATCGGTAATAATTTATCCAAAATTATTAATAATGTGATTGTAAAGAATTGATAAGTATACTGAAATTGTTAATAGTGATGGGTTGATGATGAAATTGTTAATTTTTTTATATCATAAACGTTAATGACGAAAATGTCAACATTTTTATGCCTCCTATTAATACTATATTATACTATTATTAACCTATGTAACATAATTATCAACTAAGTTGAACGAACATCAAAGTTCAGAGTATTAACATTTTTTTTGCAACCTGTTAATATTCTAATATACTATTATTAACGTTCAATCATAAACCTATTAATAATATTATTGAAGAGAATCAACTTAATGCAACTCATCATTAACCATAATAAGGGGTCCTTAAGGGCCGCTGTATTAACAAAAATTCCTTTTTTCCAACATAAGATCTTATACTTTTAGCGTTTTTTCAACCATAAGAGTTTATAATATTAATATTTTTTTAGCCTCATATTAAATATAATATATGATTATTAACCTATGCAACATATCTTTAATGAAGTTCAACGATCATAAGAGTTTAGGCCATTAACGTCTTTTTGCTTCTTATTAATATTATAATATACTATTATTAACGTTCAAACATAGACTTGTTAATAATGTTATGGAAGGGAATCAACTTTATGAAACTCGCCATTAGTAATAAAAGGTGTTGTTAAGTACCGCATTATTAACAATAACTAGTCATTTTTCAACGTTAACCATGCAAAACGAAGCAACAACATAAACCTGCAACAAAGACGTTTCGTATCACGAACTGTGGAGAATTTTCCGTATTAACAAATTTTCGAGAAGATTAAAGGGAACGCCGCCAGCCACAAGCCTCCATCCGACCGATACCTCCTCACCTGTAGGCGTCGTCGGGGAAAGGCTACACCGCCGCTGATATGGCAGGATCAATGGTGCTAATATGGCGCTGGAATGGCGGTGAGATGGCGGTGACACTGCTGCCTTTGCCGATGGAAGTACTAGCAGACGTTGGCACGATTGCCGATCGGGGGACCGCCCGCGGGTGCCGATGGGAGGTTGGTTGCAAGATGGTGAAACGGTTGTCGGCGACGAATGGGCGAAGGACTCAAGAAGAATGACGGAGAGAATAGTCTTAGGTTTTTTTATTATTACCTTTTTCCACTTTTTTATTTAAATATTCATTATATTAATGATGGTTATACAATACCAATTCTATTCTTAACTACCTATTAACAGCAAACTCTTTATTAACTTCCTAGATTCAAACCAGCCAATAAAAAAGCTTTAAGAAACTCCTTAAGCTTATAGGCTTAAGGACTGAATCTGACCTGTTCATTCATCACCCTCGTCCTCGAAATTGGCAGAAAATGAACGCGATGAACGCATATGACGATGATGCAATTGTGTCGGAGATTCTTCTAATTAAATAGGGCTAAATTACACATTTGGTCACTCGAATTACATAAACATTTCACGTTTGCCACCCAAATTAATTTTCTTTCAATTTAACCACTCACTTTACAAATCGTTTCACCGTTGGTCACCCTCCGTCAGTCTCCGTCAGACTCCGTTAACGCCGTCAGATCTTCATCTCTCAACTTGGATGCCCATATGTACCAATCACATGGTGCCTCGCACATCACTTGCAGCCTCTTACCATCACTTCGTTTGAAGAATATTGGTCGTTTCTCAATGAAAGAATATTGCTTGAGTGCATCCTTCGTTTGAAGAATATTGGTCGTTTCTCAATGAAAGAATTTAGCCTCTCTGTCAGCCCAGTCAGCACTTCCGTTTGCCACGTCATCAAAAATCTGACGGCGTTAACGGAGTCTGACGGAGACTGACGGAGGGTGACCAACGGTGAAACGATTCGTAAAGTGAGTGGTTAAATTGAAAGAAAATTAATTTGGGTGGCAAACGTGAAATGTTTATGTAATTCGAGTGACCAAATGTGTAATTTAGCCAATTAAATAGCATAGTTAGATTCTTCTTTCGCCTGCTTCCAATCTCTTCTCCTTCCCCCCCCCCTTCAGTCTTCCATCTCGCGTAGTGGTAGTGTCGCAGGTAGGAGTGGTAGTTGGCACTAGTTTGTCGCATGTAGGAATGGTCCTATGGCAGGTAGCGCTCATGCCCTTAGCGGTAGTGATCATTCTATCGGCCATAGCTGTGTTATTGCGAATGAGGGCCATGACATGTCTCGTCTCTTGTAGCTGGCACTTGCTCGATGTGTTCCTCCCTGGATAGTTCTTTCAAACTCAATGCATTGATAGACAAATATTCTAGTTTACTGAACTTCGAAAATTACATAAGAAACCTATGATAAACCGAAACATTCTTCTTCTTGATTCAAGTGTCCAATTTTCCCATTTTGAAAAATCTGGACTGAGAGTGTTTCTGATGACATTTCCATGTCACAGATGCTACTCTGCATTTTGTTTCACAAAGGCAAAGGCCTGTTCCATAGTAACAGATTCAAATCTTCAACGGTACATTTGCTCCGCGATGACGTTTTTCCAGCTACCATCTCCACTTGATGAGACGATGACGTTTTATTCCCAGCTCTGCTCTTCCTCAAGACGTTGTCGTTCTAGCTTTCCTTTACTGTCGTGTCTTTTCTTTTCTTCCAAGCTTGTTTAGTTTCCTTTCCAAGCTATCAAACAAACATGTAATGGAGCTTGTCTTCTTCTGTATTGTTGAGCCTATAAGAGGCAGAACCAGCAATGAGAATCACAAGTTTTAGGGTTTCAATTTACTCTCACTTCGTCAATATGGTATCAAAGCCTGAAATTGAATCCTAGCCGCCGCCCTTCTCTTCTACGATGGCTGACAATCAAGCAGCCCCAGAACAGCAAGCACAGCAACAAGATGTTGCTGCTTCACTTCCTATTGACCCACTTTCCGATCCCTTCTTCCTCCATGGCTCTGAGCAGCCTGGATCTCTTCTTGTGGCTGAAAAACTCACTGCCACCAACTACAACGACTGGAGTAGGACAATGTTCAATGGTCTCTCTGCCAAAAACAAGATAGGTTTCATTAATGGTACTATACCAGAACCAGCTGCTAATGATGCAAGATATGGTTCCTGGACGCGCAACAATGTCATGGTTCTCAGCTGGATTCAACAATCCACCTCTCCAGAGATCAGGAAAACCATCCTCAGCAGTAAAACAGCTACAGAGGCTTGGAAAAGTCTTCAAACCAGATATGGATCTGGAGATCTGATTCGCATTGCTGAACTTGAAGAAGAACTCTCCACTCTTCAGCAAGGTAATCAAACAGTTACAGAGTATTATGGTCGAGTCATAACTCTTAGGGATGAGTTGAGAACTATCAACCTCTACTGCCTTGTACTTGCACTCCCACAAGTCATGTTGATTGTGCTGCAATGGTTCGAGCCCTTCAGTACCAAGAAACTAGTTATGTCATTAAATTCCTTCGTGGTTTGAATGAGAATTTTTTTGATGTAAGAGCTCAAGTTCTGTTTGGGGATGAACTCCCAAACATCAATAGAGTCTTCCAAAGAATGCTTCAACGCGAAAGACAACTCTATGGAACACAATCTGGCAAGATAGCTGCTTCACTACAATCTGAATCTTCAGCTATGGCACTTCAAGGGGGAAACAGAAAGGGTATACTCAACACAAAACCCCCATTCTGTACCTTCTGTCGAAGGGAGGGCCACTCTGAAGACATTTGTTTCCAGAAACATGGCTGGCCCCCTAGAATGTCCAGACCACCATCTCTTGCAGCTGGCACACCTCCTTCCTGCACTTTCTATAAAAGGAGATGCCATACAGAGGAAAAATGCTTCCAGAAACATGGCTATCCTCCTAATTTTGTTCCAAGAAATCCAACTTTTGTTCCTTCAAGAGGAAGACCAGCTGTTCATATGGCCACTGCTCCATCAACTACTGATGAAGTCAAGCTCACCAAACCTGACTATGACAAACTGATGGCCTTGATGAACTCACAAAAGGCTCAATCCTCTTTCTCTGTTGTAGCATATGTCACCCACTCAGGTATGAAATCAACCCTATAAACTCAATACCTGTGTTAAATGATGCTTCTACTCCACACCAAAGATGGGTTGTGGATACAAGAGCCTCAGACCACATAGTCTGCTCCCTTGATTATCTTGAGGACCCCAAACCATTGTCAAATGTGTTCATTACTCTACCAACTGGCCAACAGATACAAGCAACACACACAGGAACAGCTACCTGTAGTTCTGATCTGGTTTTATATGATGCCTTGTTTGTTCCCCACTTCACATTCAATCTCATCTCAGTTAGTAGGCTGACTTCCAAATATTCCTTATGTTTAACCTTCCATTCAACCCTTTGTCTTATACAGGATCTGCAGCAGACGAGAGTGATTGGTTCTGCTAGGCTTTCCAATGGTCTTTATTACCTTGAAGCTTCCCTTTTCCCTAAGTTGATCTCAGCAGCCTCCACATCAACATTTGACTTATGGCATTTTAGATTAGGACATGTTTCACATTCTAAAAATCCCATTATCAACCAATTTTGTACCCCCATCTTCACACATTCAGATCAACCTTGTGATATCTGTCATTTTGCTAAGAAAAAATGACTTTCCTTTCCTGCTAGTCAGTCTGTAAAACATTTCCCTTTTGAACTCCTACATGTTGATATATGGGGTCCAAACTCAGTTCCCACTTATGATGGTTTTAAGTATTTTTTTAACCATTGTTGATGATCATACTAGAATGACTTGGATAATTCTACTCCATCTCAAGACAGATGCAAGGCCAAAGTTAATTGCCTTCTGCAAACAAATGGAAAGACAGTTTAACACAAAAATTAAAACCATCAGAAGTGACCAAGGCAAAGAATTCTTGATGGATGATTTCTATACTTCAACAGGAATCATACATGAAATTTCCTATGTCCAAACTCCCCAACAAAACAGTAAAGTTGAGAGGAAGCACCAGCATATTCTTGTTGTTGCTCGTGCTCTTCAATTCCAAGCAGGCTTGCCACCTGCATTTTGGGGTGACTGTGTTAAACACTCGGTTCACCTGATCAATAGGGTTCCTAAAGCTGTTCTATCCAATAAAACTCCATTCTAAATGCTCTACAACAAACCACCTGACCTCACTGAACTAAGAGTATTTGGTTGCTTGTCCTATGCAAGTACCCTTGCCAACCATAGAACCAAATTCCAACCTCGAGCTAGGAAAGCTGTCTTTCTTGGTTACCCTTCTGGCATCAAAGGATACAGATTGTATGATCTATCCAATCATGAAACATTCATATCCAGAGATGTAATATTCTTTGAATCCCATTTTCCATTTACAACAGAATCACAGACTGACAACAATCCTACTCCTTCATACCATTTCTTCCCTATTCCTAGTCCAGACTCTCCTCTTGCCAATGATGACTTCATTTCCTCACCACCAACTCTACCAGTCACTACACCAGATCCTTCTCCTACACCACTACCAGAACAAGATCCTACACCTGCAACACCAAATCCTTCACCACCACCTTCCCCACCACCACCTAATCCATCACCATCACCTCCTCCTCCTCCCCCACCACCTCCTCCAATAAGGTCAGATAGAACTCCAAAACCTCCTCCTCACTTAGTCAAAAACTACCATTGTTTTCTCTCTTAGGGGCCTAGCAGCATCACTCACTCCGCACTGCAGCAGATTCAAGACTCAAGGTACTCCTTCTCTTCCATGATCTCTTATGATAAACTGTCAGCACCCCACAAAAATTTCCTCCTCAACATTTCCAGTCACCATGAACCACAAACATACAAGGAAGCAGCAAAACATGCAGTTTGGAATGATGCAATGAAGTTGGAAATCAAGGCTTTAGTCAAAAATCATACCTGGGATGTTGTCTCCCTTCCACGGGGCAAGAAACCTGTTGGCAACAAGTGGATTTACAAAGATAAGTTTCTCTCAGATGGTTCACTCAACAAGAAGGAGTGGATTACCAAGACACCTTTGCACCTGTCGTTAAAATGACAACAGTGAGAACTTTTCTTGCTATTGCAGCAATGCGAAATTGGCATATTCACCAATTGGACGTGAATAATGCATTTCTCCATGGAGACCTCAATGAAGAGGTCTACATGACTCTTCCAAAGGGTTATGACCCTCCTCCAGACATCCCTAATCCAGTTTGCAGGCTAAGAAAGTCAATCTATGGCCTAAAACAGGCTTCAAGGCAATGGTTTTCTAAGCTAACTGACAAACTCCAACAGGTTGGCTATGTTCAAAGCAAGGCATACCATTCTCTCTTCTTCAAGGCTACAGATACCAGTTACACTTGCATTTTGATTTATGTTGATGATATAGTATTGGGA